TTTTGGTTTTGACCCACTCCCATATGGCTACCTGGACTCTTGGGGGAAACATGAGGGGCCACTTCTATACTTTGCGTTGCTTTGCTTTGCTGCAGGGCATTGCCAAGTTCCCGCCATTGAGGCCTCCCCAGTTCGTTTGGTTCAGAGTGGTTGGCGTGAGACATCAGCCTTTTCCCCAGGCTCCCCAATCGAAAGCGCAAAGATAAAGACAGTAATCAGACCCACACAAACAAGGGAAACAAAATGAAACTGGGTTCCAAAGGGTAGAACCACTGTAAGGCTAATTCAAGTAACTTTTAATTAAACTACTTCTCTGTCTCATAGCTATGGTACATGGGATTCCCAAGGTTTGCGCATGTCGTCAAGGCAACCTTTATCATTCAACGAGTTACCTCTCCGGTTCACTACTATAGTACATCGAATCTCCATGCATCAGAGGCTTGCGTTGTTGGATCTCACTCTATTCCGGGCGTGCATTGCCCCAGGAATCTCTCCGCCTGCTTCATAGTAGCTGGAACTTCAACAGCTCCTACAAATCCTTGATCAGGTCGTGGAGGTTCAACGGGTCAAGGCAGTGGTGCTGCCTTCTCGTCTCCAGCTCCTGCTGGTTGTGGGAGGAGTTTGCCGGCCCGTCCGTGGAGCTTCCGGCCCGGTTCGCACGGCTTGCATCTCTGCTTCGCTCTCTGAGGTCGGCTCTGTCTCCTTCTGGGTCAGGTTGTCCACCTAGAGCTCTGGTCGTCTCCGTCAGCTTGAGGCCCGGAGTATCCAACGCAGGCGGTCGTCGCTGTCTGCGAGGCGCGGCCCCATCAGAGCTCCTCTTCCTCCAAGGGGGGACATGCATCATTGCCATGGTGTCTGACTCCTGTTCTACCATGTCTCCACAACCAGTCATCACGAGGGTCACGGTCACGTAGCTCAGCGGACACCGAAGTTCGTGGGTAGGCCCTCCGCGCTGTGCACAGCAATCGAGGCACCATCGCAAGAAGGACAGCATGGCTGGCAGGTGAACCCCAGCGACTGGCCGACGGTCACACTGCGTCACTTACTGCCACTCAAGAGGCGTGGTCATGAGTCGTATTATCTGGTCTTCCCTGCCCATGCGCTCAGCTGGTCACTGATCAGTTAACACTTGCATCATTGTGACCTCATGGAGGGGGTTGTGCATGTGGGTCGCGCGCATGCTGCCGGCTGGTCAAAGCTGAGCATGACCTCTTCTGAGTCCTATGTCAGTGAGGCTGGGCACGTAGCGCCTTCTCACTTGCGAGGTATGGCGCTCTGTGTCTCTCTCGCTCTCTCTCTCTCTCTTCTTCTTCTGTAGGCCACACCAGTGCCCAAAAGCACACCGTTGGGGTTGCACCTCATGGCCCCGCAAGGTCCGGTACAGGTCAGTAGGTAACCCCGCGAGGACCGGGGTATACCGGGGTAGTAGCAACTACTGCTCTCCGCCAGGTTCCTTGCACCACAGTGAACAACTTACGGTGAAGAGCCCCAATCAATTTTCCGCCCTTCTCCAGCGGTCGTGAGACTTTTCTGCAGCTTCCAGGTTCACTGCAACCATACGACTGCAGCAACAACCAGCTCTCTGCCAAAGCATCCCGATGGTCCCACAACACGAGGCAGCGTAATAGAAGTCCGATACTAGCGGCACGGAAAGCAACAGCAGGAGAATATCTCCACCAGTCAATCAGTGAAGTCTCCGCCAGCTGGAGGCTTAGTTAACCCTTCTTGCGGAGAGATGTGCAGGGCACTGCGGGCGCCCCTTTGGTCAAAGCAATTCTTGCATCATGTGCTTTATGTGAGACTCTCGGTGTGCGAGAGTGATGCCTTGCTGCACTGGTTCTGCTCTTAAGAATCCAGCTGCCGTAACTGAAGCGGCAGCCACTATAGTTGTCTTTCGGATTTTGTTTGATGACAGGCGGTGATCGTTGATTTTGGGCCCTATTCTGATGGTGATTCTGTGCGGTTACTTGTCTACCCCCCGCCGCTGCGGATACGTAATAGCTTGCGAGACTGTAAAAGACTCAACGCGCTACCTCAGGATGGACCACTTGGAATCAGGAGAGGACTTTCATTTCCTCTCGCTGTAATATCAACTCAGTAGAACCGATTGTCATACAACGAAGACACGAAGCTTGAAGAACATCTGCCAAAAGGATTTTCATAATCATGGACTTGAGCGGTGCCAAGCGCAGCAGGTTCCGCGAATTGCAAGTAAGACGGTCTTGTCAATGCTTTGAAGCTAGAAGTCAAGGCTTAGTGTTGACTGGAGGAAACATTGCAGTGGCGCTGGGCAAGGACACGGTCCAGGGCCAGGCTGACCGAAGATATAGAATGGCTCCATAGCGCCACATGCGCATGGGCCAAGTGCAAATGGCCCGGCGAATCGAAACAAGGCGGCGGCTGCCGGCATGCAGCGAGGCACGATTACTTGCGGCCATGACGGAGCTCATGCGCGGCAAGTTCTACGTAGGAGGAGCAGTGTCTTCTTGCATTGGTTCACCAATTGCACACCAGAAACACGCGACCCCGTTTCTTGACCACCCTGCGTGCCACGAACTGGGGCGGCCTTGTTAAGCTTTCGTGTGGGAATAAAACAACCTGGAGCTGAAGGCAAGAGTTGGGCATCAAACCCTATGTTTCAAGACCACGGTCCGAGGAGTTACCGTTCCACAAATTCTGCAGCAATTCAAATTCCATCTACCTTTGACTCCTCCAAAAAGTCCTGGCCAAAGACTGCATGAAGCCTGACAAAAATCCGACACCTGACTCAGAACTAGTGAAAATGCTTCGCACACCTTATACCTTCAGACTCTTCTGATCGCCCATGTGCCGTCCAATGGCCGATCGAGGTTGCAGCAGAACTCCGGCGTGAATCCCAAGGCCCAGCAGTCCAGCGTGGCCTTCTCCTTTCGCGAATCAGATCATAACTCATAACCCTGGCAACTGAGCTGGATTGCTCTGGCAACAAGGTCAATGCGTCCTCAACTCGGTTTTGCACAGAAAGCGCTGGAGGTTCATGCTTGAGCTCATCTGGAGATAATCTGATCACGCCAGGTAAGCGCCTTGCAAGCAAGCTTGGAAATCACCTACCATGCATTCATGATCTGCCACGGTTGATCACTGTGATGAGACTGAGCGCAGGTCAGCAGTACCTGGTAGAAGTAAAACAAGCTTCCCTCCAAGGTCAAATGGCGCTTGGCGAATGTCGAAGCATCAGCGGCGATCCTTGCGCCAATCAATCAGTGTGGCTTCAAGTTACTTCGAAAGTGACCAGGATGTGTCTGTGAGAAATGGCATGTTCACATTCAGGAGGGATCCATCAACGGCAGCCCAAAACCTTCAAAACCTAGCAACGCGCTGCAAGGCAGTTTCCTTGCTCTCGTGCTACAAGTATGCAGTGTGGCAAGAGCAACGTTTCGTGAGCAGGGCGTTTGGTTGCTTGTTCTGAACTTCATGCAAAGAATGGGCCAGGCAAGAAGCCTTTGCTTGGAGACACGTTCAGGCTAGGTTGGACTTTCCTCATACGTTTGCACTTGGGTTTGGCTTGTAGCTCAGCACGACACGAGCAGGAAATCATGCTAGGCCCTCTGCCAGTTGAATGCTTGGCCCTCCCGCCTTAAATAGTGCCTTTCCCGAACCACTCTATGCTGCTCCATCCCTGTCTGTGGGTTGCAGAAATAACGCTGCGGAGAGCAAAGAAGATCGTGAGAGTTTTGTGCGAGAAAGGGATTGCAGCAGCTAGCATTCTACTGGTTCAGTCACAATTGCTGCCAAGTCCCATCTCCCCTCCACAAATGTTCGTCGAAACGTCTCACGTTCACGAAGCAGCAGTAGCCGACCAGGCTACTACATCGCCAGCATTTCGTGTGGGGTTTGTCGGCCTTTGAGTCTGGGCTCTTGCCACGCCTAAGGCAGGTCCATTTAGCTTTTATGGCGCAGCAGTGCGCAGCAAGGTGCCACGGAAACTCCGTGGTCTCTGTGTCGAGCCTTCTTCAAGAGTTTTGCAAAATTTGCTTTAATTTGTTGCGAATCACGAAGGTTTGCTGAGCATGCCGTCCTGGGACTTGAGATGTCTAGGGTTGACTGCTGCCTACCTTAGATTGTAAGTGGTGGCGCGCAAACTTGCCCAAACTAGTTGAGGGCTGGAAGCGAATCCGTGTTTTTGAAGTCTGCTTTTACATTTCCGGGGGTTGCCACCAACTTGAAACCATCAACCCAGACCCACAACCAACTAGCTGAGAAGGATGATTTCATTTTGAGGTTTGGCTGTTGGTCCCCCCATTCATGGAAACCACTATGGATTGACGAAAGGGGGGTAAGGTGGCCAGATAATCCAAACCAGGCTCTCTTTTCTGAACTCTACTTTTTCAGGGACCTTCGTGTAATCACTCCAAGATATCGAGAAAGCCAGCTGAGCATTGTTTTTTTCAAGGTTAAAGTCTTTGTACTAAGAGAGTCTGCCTACGCGAACTATGCGGATTGCTGTTTTCACTGCAGAACAGACTACGCGAACACACTCTTGCCATCGTGCTGCCTACGCGGACTACGCGGCATTCTTGGGCTATTGACAATTCTATGCAGCACGAACCTCTTCTTTCACAAAACATACCAACTACGCAGACTACGCGGACGAGACTATTATAGGTGCCTACGCGAAACTACGCCAAAACTACGCCCTGCAGGCAAGAGGCTACGCGAGCACTCTTGCAGTTTCACTTCCATCATAGCTCTTACATAAAAAAAGGCTGCTCAGCTAGCTTTGACTGGATGCTTTTCACATTCAACTGCATCTCATGCTGAATCTTAACTCCAGGTCGATGATTTCATTGATGTTGCTACTGTTTCGCCTCGCAGTTTCTAGGGTAATCGCTAGGTTTCTGTTGTCTTGATTAGTGCCATGACAATTTCTCCCATGTACTAGTTTTGCTAATTACATGAGGCCCCAAATGCACAGTTGTGGTTCCCTGCATAACTAAGGTCTGTCCTATGACTCCTCGGCATCACATTCCCTTACTTATCTCCCTCGCCGAAAGCAACTGTGGAATGTCTTTGCTGCAGGGCTAAAGGCTAAAGCTGCCAGCGAACTTGGAATCTCCACCCCCCGCAACAGCAGTTTAAAGAGGGTTTGTAAACAATTTGCGACCCCCTGATCAAGCCAGGAAAAATAGTTGAACGAACCGAAAAAGAACTAAGAAGTCTTCTTGTGAAACAACGAAGAAGTTGTCAACAACATCGAAGAACATTTCTAATCATATTTCCTCAAGCATCGAGATGTTACTTGAAACCGAAAAGATGTTAAAAAGCTGCCAAGTCAGAGGCGCCTGAATGAAAAATCTGTGCGTTGCCCAAGAAATGTTAGTGATCTTGGAACTTCGGGGGTGGGGGGTTTGAGTTGGCTGATGACAAAGGTCCAAGTGACTCAGCGCTGCGTCGGTCGTTCTCTTTGGCCCAGTCCAGCTGGTCCATGAGGTCCTTCCAGTGATGCTTCAAGTTGCACTGACTCTGTGAGCAAAGAATTGTGGAGAGCACGCGCAGGCTGCAAACGCAAGGTGTCCGCCAAATCTTCTCGAACTGGGATATAGTGCTTCCAGGCCTGTAGACCTTCATCCAACCAAACACGGATCCTGGAGTTGGCGCGAAACACCACGGAGTCCGTCAGCAGAAGCCAATACAAGCGATCAGAAAAAGAAGTGCCATCAACGTAGGCCACATACCTGGTGGGCGACCGGGGGTGCCACTTGTATTTCTGACTGATTTTGCCAAATCTGTGCTTTCGCTAACTAGAAAAGCTAAGAGACTTATACCGGACATGCGCTTCGGGTGGGACAATTTCCTCGATCCGCAATCTGCACGAATTATAAATACCCTCGCAGTCTTTATGCACCGTGTCTTTTGTAAACACTGCATCCACTCGGCTTGGAAAAAGCGATGATGCCAATACCAGCTTGGATCGTGGAAAGAGTGGCCACGTGTTTCTGTCCCAGAGTCCACACTCGGTGGTGACTTGCTGCGTGGCATGTAAACATCCAGTGTCTGATCCGCGCCAGAAGAGAATGCCTTCGCGATCCTGCCACGCCACTTTTGAAGATGCTTGCTGCAGCCTCTCTCCGTAACGACGTGTCCAGTCCTGAGCTTAATTTGGGAGAGAGGGACTGGGACGAAAGCTAGGGCAGGGATCTAATTGGCAGAATGCAGACACGCACCCTCTCTTGTTTTACTACTGGGAACTAGGAAGGCTATAGGACACAAACTCGTGATTGACACCAAAAGGTGTGGCATTCAAACAGTATGCATCCTAAATGTAGGTGTATGTAGTATTTGCATATGACTTTACTTTCACTATCTGATTTAGTGCCCTCCGGTAGCCTGCCATACTCTACTAGACATAGCACGTGTTTTTGCTCAAGCACAACGGGGTTTGGGGCCAGGAAGCTTGAACAAACCTTGTCCAGGGTTCATGCGATGGATCGACCTACCCCCTGACCACGCGCTGGGGAGTTCCCCTCACTTACACGCCTTGCTGCTTGAACTTCCTATATGAGAACCTCAAGCTAGACCCGGAGGCTAGCTTTCGTAACATCTTCTTGCAGCACGTCGTCACAGAAGCTCCGGACCTACCTCTACTAAGCATGCATTCGAAGATGCGATCTGCATGAATGCCCACCACGGCATGAGGATGCCGTTGAACCCTTCAAGCTGAGCCTGTGCCAGAACCTAAGGCAAGAACACCACAAGCCAGGCATGATAAGCTGGCTTCGGTTGCTCCCATGCGGCAAGGGTTCCGGCACGGTCATGTTGATGTGAGGCATTATGCCGAAGCACTCTCCGGTGTGTATGAAGAAATCCTTAGCATGGCCATAGTCGTCTTTTGCATGGTTCGTGCATGCTGCCTGCTTTCTACATAGCCAACCCATGCCAGCATAGTCACCAGCTCTGGCAGTCCAAACATGATCTGGAGGATGTGCAAGGCAGCCCGCACTGAATGTAGCAGGGAAAAATACCCTTGGTCCATGGCCATCTTCCACAACTGGAACATACTTTACGACCAACTTTTGAAAACGTGCGGTAGCGAGTGACGAGATCGGTTGAAGTCACAATGATAGATTTTTCCATCACCTCCTGAGCAAGGCATGCAGTCTGACTGAGACGAATAATATGTCAGGGTTGCAGCGGACACTACCTTTCAAACCAGTGACTCTTGAGCAAAACCCTGCCCTGTTGCTTGAGCAAAAACTCATGCCATGTTGCGTAGGCGAAATCGGCACAACTCCGCACCACGGCCAGCGACCTGGCAAGTAACCTTTGAATGTGCCTGTTACATGCCTCAAGCCCCAAAATCGGCCCCAAAATTTGGTCTGAGTGGTATGCCTTCAAATTGACCATCAAACGCTTCCAATGCCTAAACCTGTCTCTTAGAAGTCCAGGTTTTCTCCCTTAGCCGTGGACAAAAAGTCGTGAAACTTGAACATTTCTTGATCTCGCCTAGATAGATATCTTCATCCTACGATAATTCTGCCGACTTCGTGGCGAGCAGTCAACAGGTTGCGGCCCTAAACGTGCACGCGCGCAGCAAAAATGATGCAACACATGTCCAAACAACGTCCAACAAGATTGCTCGCCCAGTCCTCATGCTGAGATGCTTTTGCCCACAATTTGTCGAGTGGTATGTCAGATTTAGCTGGCCTCCATAGCAGCCTCCAGAGCATCCAGTTCTGCACCACCCACCTGCGCCTGTTGCAATGCCACTCGCTGTGTTCCAAGGCTATGGTTACACATCAATACACAAGTCTCCCCAGAAAACAATCGGCAAGCCTCCCGCTCCCAAGTGTAGAAATCCTCGGATCACAGCGTCACTATGACGATGTAAGGATACATGTGTTGCTAGGGCATCTCAGTTTGTCACGCTCCACTCCGAAAAGCTCCTGAAATCTCTGGTGTAAACTGTAAACGCACCACCAAGTCCAGCCATAGCGGCACGATTCAGCTGCTTCGTCATCCATCTGGCAGGTTCGGCAGCAGCCAACCTCTTGAGCTCCTTGGCTACCAGTGAACCTCTAAAAAACTTTCAGTTGGAGTTATGAAAGCGCAGAAGTGGAACCACAGCCGTCACAAAAAAAAAGCCACAATGCAGGAATCAGATTCTGGAAAGCAACACTCCACGTGGCGGCGAGTGAAGCCTATCAGCTCTCCTGTTTGATCATAAGCAATGGCAGAAAGATTGCCATCATCCTACAAGCGCCTTTTCCTAACAGCAGGCAAAAGTGAGCGATCGATTTGTCTTTGTACACAACGGAGCCTGTGGCTCGCACGTTTCATGCGTAGACAGCTGAGGGCGGTTTGTGGTCGCTGCAGCTGATTTGCGTAAGGCCTGTTTCGGAGAATAGCACCAAGTTCTTTCCAAAGAAGCGCAGGAAGTCCTTCTTCGTACCCGGGCCACCTGCAACTTGCAACCATTCCACTAAGTCTGCATAGGTTCGGACTGGTCCTTGCGTCAAGCGGCGCTCAGGAAAATCGTCGGCAAATGTACAACATGGCACAACAGCGAAAGGCCTCCCAAGCACCTGTGCAAGCTCAACGACACCTCCGGTAGCTTGATCTGGATGCAAGCCTACAACAATTTGAGCACCAAGAAGGCCGTCCCAACCGCATGCTGTCTCAGCAGGCCCTGCTGTTAAGGCTTGTGCAGCTTCGATTGCCTTGCTGACCGGCACTTGGCACTGCTTCAGAGGGCAGGACAGTACGTGCGCTTGGCATTCTGCATAACTGCGAAGACCATGTTGACGCTTGAGCCATGCGCGCTGTTGCCCTGACAATGGTTAACATGTCTCTGTCAGTCGTCATGAAGTTAAGTATTTGAGCTTTTATCAATGTTCTAAAGCAACCCTCGGCACGAACATTCTACGACCCTAGCGCCAATAAAAACGGTTTACCAGTCTTCAAGAATGGGAAGGAAATCCACACGAAAGGGTACGGTAACACCTTGCTCTTATGGAGCCAGGAGTCTGGATACGTGCCAGTCATTCCATGGTGCCGGACGGTCCCCGCCCGGGCAGCGCGGATCAAGCACGATACAAGGAATGTTCCGCTTCACGCTCAACTCAAAAGCCAGTTCTCCTCGACCGCCTGCAACATCTACCACCCCCTTTCGAAGCATGTCGTCCCCAAAGACTTCGCACAGCCACTCTGCGAAAACGGCTGCACGAGCTGCGTGGCCCTTCTTTTGTTGCTCCGAATGAGGATCATCTGGCTGTGCATTCGATGCCAAACGCTCAAATTGCTCTTGGCGCCAGCGAGCCCGGGCTTCCTTCAACTCCTCTCCCTCTGGATGGTAACATGCGCATTGCGTTCTTCTACAAGTGCCATTGCTCATCCAGAACTTGCACAGTGCTCTTCGCCGCGATGTTGGTCCGGCGGCTGGCGGCGGGTCCGTGCTGGCTGTGAGACCAGTACCTGTCCCTGAAGGCTGCGCCACATCTGCATGACCCTGACTTGTCCTGACCGACTTGTTTTGTGGTTCATGCGCTTGAAACGCTGCACCGCCACTAACATCTGCCCAATGACAGAGTATAGAGTAAGAGAAGACATCTAAACTCCTCCTGCATGCTCGCCAGGTCCCCGTGCAAGAAATGGTGTCCCCAACAGATATATGCTTGCGGACCTCCCGCACTTCAGCTCCATAGACCTCATATGAGAAGATGGCTTCCAGGCTTTTTGCCCCAGTTTCTTGCGGTGACAAACTGTTGGGCTCTTCTGCAGCGGCAAGCTCAAGAAACAGAAGCTTGTTGCCACATGATCTTTTGTGAAGCACTTGTCCCTCAAGTAATTCTTTGGGTGCAGTCAGGCGTTGTCCCGGGAAAAACGACTCAGCAGGGTCTATGGCACAGGATACATCTGACATTTTCGGGCAATGCTCTGGCAAAAGCTGTGCTACGTACGTTGTCATGGCAATTTGGGCTACTTGGCTGCGCAGCCGCCAAAATGGGACCAACCTTTGCTTGTTATAAGGGCGGTGCAAACACGTGCTTCAAACTGTCCTAGGCATGACCACGCAGCTGCATCAGCGCAGTAAGCCATACGCATGCATGATGAGGGAATGCTTGTAAAATTTAGGGGCATGGATCCTAAAGGTCCTGTCGCTGTGTCATCACTGCAGCATGTCCTGAACACCTTTGCTCCAAAATGTTGGCTTTCGGATGCACTTTTGCCTGCTTGACCCATTAAAACCTACCGCAAGAACTGGCCACACACTGCACAGTGTTTTGCCTACGGCAACCTTGTGCCACAGGCATGTCTATACTGCATACACAGATTTGTTGTTGTTCGCGGTTCACAGAATGGGCAAAGTTCTCCCAAGCACTCCACAGCGCTCACAACCCCACAACATCACTCTGTCCTGTGGAGGCATCCGTCAGAATTGGAGAACCTGATGCAAGCTGCACAGCGGCCAACAAAAGTGAGGGCGCGACTTTCCAATGTTGTGTCGCTTACTGATCGGATGTGCGACAGCTTGGGCCCTAAACTAAAATCAGGTGGCCAGCGGATTCAACATGTAGTGTGCTAGAGGTCTTGGGATTTAGCACCTCAGGCGTGTGAACCTGGCAAGACCTGAGGAAGTGTCAACACAGTGCCAAATGCTAAGACCTCCAAGAAGCTATGTTTTTGCTTTGCATGTTTGGTGACTCCTCAGGTTTAGGCAAGGTTTTTGCCCAACATCTTGCGAGTGGGCACCGAACAAAGCTCGCTTGGAGCCTACCGGAAACTGGAAATCCGAGAATGTGGGAGTTCGGTATTGACATCCTACAAAGTCAGCACTAAATCTAGGCGCTCTAAATTTGAGCAGGAATTTAAAAATCATGGGCTTCTATGACCAAATCATGTGGAAGACAATGTTAACTAACCATTTGCTCCTCACTCTTGCCCTCTTCCACAGAAGACAACAACTCACAGACGAGCATCTACAAATAGATACTACAAATGATTGCACGCTGATCTGTTACATACGCGAACGCAGACAAGACAAGCAAGCCGGGCTCTGTTGCCATGCTTTTATGATTGCATCCTGGCAACATCATGATGCACCCTCAGCCAGATCACAAAGCAAAAGTTTAGGTTCAGGCTCAGGTGACCCCCTTTGAAAGCGTGAATGAGGAACCCAGGCCACACAGAACCTCTTGGTCCGTTTAAGCCAGGGCACCGCCAGGCTCCTTGGCACCCCAGCAAGCCTCCGAGCTGAGGTGCGAAGCGTGGCAGCAAAACACCGCCACATTTGCCTTGCATAGCTGGATGCCCCATATCACCCAAGTCACAAGCATATCAAAGGCTACACTACAGAAGCCTTTCCACGCGCGACATAACATTTGCAATTCCTCTCACACAAGACATCCGGTGTGCCTTAGCAAGCCCCCGATGTTCCCGCTGAACCAAAAGTGGTTCACTCACATCCAAGCTTGGCTTTCACAGATGCTGGGTATTATGACAGACTCGTGAATTTGACTTGAGAGCAGGTGCAAGGTCGTTGAGAACCGGGTGCTTGGCCAAAGGGTCCTCTGAAGAAGACAGTCGTTGCCGCGCTTCGTTCCAGCAATCTGGTGGGGAGAGAGCATGAAATGGCTCATGACAACCTCAGACAGAGGGCACATCTTTGTCTTGCTCGCTCCAGTAGAGAGCCCTCGCGAACAGATGAAGAAAGGAGGAAAGAGCATCCAATCGCCATGGTGGGGGCTTTCGTTCGCAAATGCGCAGCCAGCATATCAACTGTCGGCTGCCAAACTTCAAAGCAAATACACCACCGCTTAAACTTAGACTGCCATTTGGATCTTTGTCATCCAGACAGGTAGCAGAAAATGTTTGCCAAAACCGGAAACCGCAATCTTTTCGAGCCCCTGCATGCTTGCATTCTTCTGCTTCAAATCCAAGTAACAATGACTGAAGCTGTAGTGGCCATCCCAACACTCTGTGTTGCCTCAGGCTAGCCATGCTTGTCCCAGCTCATGGTTGGACGGTCGTACTCTGCATGCGAGCCTGTCAGTCCATGGCGTGAATCGCAGCAGTGGTCATAGGAGAACACGCCATGCCAGCAAGCTGGATTACCTTCATTTGCACTTTTTCAGAAGTCTTCTTGGCTAGCACTTCCGAACACAATACCCCAGAGCCTGTGCTCGCCAAGGCATGCTAAAAACATGATTATTCTAAGCGAGCAATGCAAATGCCTGCTAACATTCCTTCCTGGTCCGAAACAACCGCTCCGAGGGGGCGTCCTCTGGAGCTTGCCAGCACTGGGTGTGCATCCATCAGCACAAGCTACACTTTCCAATCATGTTGTGCCATGCAGTGCGTCATTTTGTCCCCTCCCTGGGTGAGCACCTCTATGCAATGTGCTGTGACGAAGAAAGTGCAGCTGAAATGTTGCCAACTCTTGAATGACACGGAACTGTAGCTTTCGAGCACTGAAGCCTGAGCCCAACTATTTGTGGGCGGCATGTGGCTGCATGCTTCACTTGCTACCGCCAAGTGAGAGGAGATTCGCAGTTGCAGCGACATGCGCGCACACAAGCACGCAAGATGCGCTCGCTTTTTTGCTCCCTGCTGGATCTATGCGAGGCCATAGCCGTCCACATAGCCTTTCTGCCTTTGATCATGCACCGTCAGATTCGAAGTGTTCCAAGACAAGCATCGACTTCCAAGGCCGCCGCCCTCTGTCAAAGAAGCCTGCCTCTTCCAGGATTACAGCTGCTGAGCTGGGCTGCACTGGCTTATACAGCTCATGGTCGAAAGGAAACCTTGGGTACTTATCATGATTCTCAGCAACTACATTAGCATCTTTGCATGGCACAACGCACCCTCCGCACTTGCTCAGGCACCATGAATTTCCCGGTCTTTTGGCCGGCCCAAGCCTTGGATTTCTAAGTACTGATTTCAAAGATCGTGATTCAAGTAATCTTCATGTGGGCAAATGCAAATGCAAAGTGCAAAAGCTGGCGTGACAGGCGTCGCCTTGCATCTTGCTCTGCGCGAATTGGTACCTTGGAACTCGCCTTCCTGCTGGCTGGCGGCGAAAGCCGAGCACCCAGAAGGAAGTTGCCACGGAGCGCTAGCGGCAGGATCAGGTCTCCCTCAGCCACCTTTTCTGTGCCTGGAAACACTAGCAACACAAGATCGCACGTTCGATCAAGGTTCATGTGGAAGAACGCAAGCTGGTGTTGCCAGCAATTTGCATGTTCCTGGCCAGTTCCTCCATCCGCTTCCTCATTCGATATCCCGCAGTACCGTCCTCCTTCCCCCTACAGGTTTGTTGACTCCTCTGGCCCACTGGCATCCGAAACCCGCAAGAATCAGAAAGCTTGACAGCACAAATATCTACATTGTACATGAGCCAAACACATTCGCCTGCCATACCGCGCAAATTCTCAGTGTAGGAAATTATCAAAGACTCAACCCTTCTGTAGAAAGAGGAGCTGTGCAACACAAGTAAACGCAAATTGGAATGACCGATGCTGGACACAGCGTTGAATGGCGCGAGTGCAAGTCACTTACGGGTGGGTGTACAATGCCATGGGCATGATGGGCACGCTGACGACTGCTTAGTGGTGGCTAGTCTACAAACTTGAGCACGCACTGCCTGCACTGCATGACTAGACCTAATTCAATAGTCAATAGTCACTGACTCCAGCGCAGCCAGTGTCTTTCCAAACGACTGGCCTTCGCCCCCATTAGACTCATTCCTGGTCGCCACGAAAAGCGTGTGAGAGAACGTTGGCAACCAGCCTTCCTGCAACATTTTGCTGCCAAGCGTTGCGCCAACTCAAGAAACGCTCGCCTGCCCTGGCTTGTCCACCTTGTAACACCAAGACCTGTTCCGAGGGTCAAAACACGTTGTAGTGATGCGTGCGTCTACTTACGTCACATTGCCATGCCCTGACATTCTTTCAGATAAGCTGCCACTGATCGAATGGAGTTGCAGGCTTTCTCTCGCCTCGATAAACCACTGTTATTGCATCGCCAGGTTCGGCTTGGAGGCAATGTTCTTCCTGAAATGAAACCTCAACAGAAACGCAGCTGTTGCATAGCATGCTGATGCATAACAGCCTCAGAGTATCTCGAAAGCGTGAAACTGACCCCATGCCGCTCAGGCACTTGCCGCCTTAGCGCAACAGATTTGATCACAAGGCGGTTTGGAGACAGCAGACTCAACACAAGCGGGCTTTCTGGCTGCGCGTGTTTGTGTCCATTTCTCAGACCCTGCAATGCCGCGTAAATCTCGCTGGGTTGTGGCACTACACTAAACCAACCCCCGCCAAGAAGCAGAACGATCTCAGGCTTTGTAAGCATGCCTCATCTTGCTTCAGCTCTTACGCGCACTGTTCCTCCATATTCCTGTTGCTCTCACAAGGTGCTGGCCGGGAAGCTGGGTAACTGTGAGAAATTCGATGCTGAAGAATAAGCAAGATTCAGCCCGTGCGCCCAGATCAAGACATGCTAAAGTATCCAGTCGCACACAACTTCGTTCAGTCGCGACACAACTTGGCACATCATGACTTTGTGAGCAAACTAAGCCTGTCGGAGTGATGACAGTGTTGTGCGGCTTTAGCAGCTATCGACAAACAAGGCCCGGCATAGCATGCCACTCATGTCCTGCCGCGTTGCTTCCAACCTCCGCAGCGTCAATCAAGAAGAACGCCCGTGTACTCAACCCACTTCCTGCACAGAATGTGCGGAAAATGTGACACAAGGCCAAACTTGCAAGCTCACTGGACCAAAGCTTTCTACCCCACAAAAAATACTGCCGTGAATCAACACAGCGTTCAAATGGTGATTTCCGGGCAACAAACAAGCCTTGGCTACTCTGCTGGCAGTCCCTGAAAGGCCTTCGGGAGACCAGTGTCTATAACTATTTCATGCATTCTTCAATCTGGCCCGGCTGCTTCCAAACAATACTATGACGCTATGGCGCAACCTGTTGTCGCCCTCCGCAGAAGCCCGCGCCTTCGTAATGACGAGCAACCTGTGACACATCCGGACCTGCCACAGGGAAACTCATATTGATCCTTGATGTTTGCAGGAGGTCACATACTGTTCACATGTTTTCCAGCGTTCCTGGTCAGGATATGTCGGGATGGTTCTTGCGAGTCAAGCTGTCAAGCTTGAGAGTTCTTGTTGATGGAGCTGCTGATCCTGATCCGATTCCACAAGCGCCAACATATGCCAACTGTCCCCAGTTTTTGCGAAATCTTCATCAAATCGCAAGCACATGGTGTCATAGAGGTGTGCAGTCTGCGTCTCTGATACGGCTCGGTCTGGGGCATGTGATCTGACAGGAGCTAATCGTCGCGCAAACGCACAGCATATTCGAGTCTCAAGAATGCACACCAATGCATGATGCGTGAGAGGGATCCGCCTCCCAGCTTCATGTGGCGTGACTGCTCCATGTGTGCTATGTTGATGAGCAATCCCCTCACTCCTTGGTTCCAACCTGCGAAGTCAGGAAACCACTACAGCGGGCCTCCACTGTTACACTCGACAAGACAGAAAAATCAAGAGACCACAAGCTATAATAGAGTATACAGCACCCAAAGTCCTGGCAGTGACCATCTTGCGAGGATACCGTCATGGTACCCAATCCCAGTGAACTACTGCGGCCAAAAATGCACCCGTGCAAATTCCTAGTCAGCACTCCAAACCAAATCCACAGTAGCGGCCGGGTCTCAGAAGCTACAAGGCGACCACACGACAGCTCTAGCCGAAGAGGCTTGTCATACATCAAACACACACAAGACCTGACACCAATCTGTGAATCGAAATGCAAGTATTGCTAGCAGAGGAACCTGATGTGCATCACACCGCGCCGCAAGTCCCGGATGACTCGCAGTGATCAATGCCACTCAACATCACCCGCAGTTCAGGATCAAGACAAGTTTGGAGAGACTCTCTCCATAATGCCAAATTCCTGAACCTATGATCATGTCATGAGAGGACTGCTAAATTGCTCCGCAAAATCCCACTTTGACAGAGGAACAATTCGGTCCCTTGGTTGTCAAATGCCTGAAAAGCGCATTGTATGGGGGGCAAATTTGCTTAAAGGGTCCAACCAGGTTTCTTGGATGCAGTCAGCACCTAACAAGATGCCACAGCGCATGGGAGCTGCAACAACTACAACCCGCATATTTGTACTTTACCCTCATGCCAGCATTTGAGGTAGTCACTCTGCTTTGGCAGGTCTGCCATTCCAAAGCAAAAGAGGGGCCTCCTGATCCGCTTCTCAGAATCACGCGTGCACCTAGGTTGGAACCACAGTTTGCTCATGTTTGCTCACGCTGGCTCGTCTCCGTTCTGCAAGACCAGGCCCACGTGCAGAACTCAAATGCACCACGCAGTCAGCTTTCTTGCCCAGGAGCCTGCACCTCTAAAGTCCACGACAGCTCCAAAACAGCGATGCTGGGCACCTCTTGAGCTAAAGCTTGCTGAGGCTGCCTTCTTTATCCCGCATGGCGACATTCATAGTACTCAGTCATTCCCTCTTTCTCCAACCTTCTTGTGGGCCACAAGACTAGTCGAAAGCAGCATCGCGAAATAGCCGACACGGCATACGGAATTTCATGAGCAGCTTCAACCCTTCAAAGCCAAAGCCTCGGCCTTCACAGCTGCGCGCAAGCTCGATTGCCAGTGCTTCCTTACCCGGCATGCTGCTCACACCCACACACACACATATACACGCGCGCACGCACTTTTTGCATTGCAAACCTGTCCAACTTCAGCAGAGAAGCCGCTATACGGCCTTCATGCGCTGACCGCATGAAAACCACGTTGCACTTCCAAGCCGGGAAGAAGCGGAATGTACGCACCTTGCGTGAGCCCCTTCTTTTGGAAACTATTCAACGATTCCTCATGCTGCTGCCGATGTTGCTTGCATTCTATTGCACTCACTACATGGATATTGTTCAACACTTTAGTGTTGATCCTCCGACGTTGGGGCTTTCTTGTGCCGCCCACTGTTCTGTCTTGCGCACGTAGGTGTTAGGTACTCTGCATAACACAGACCAAGACTATGAAGTCTTGCGCGTGAACTGGACTATGCCGCCGCCAGTCAGGTTAGAAGAGGCGGGTTTAGAACAGCACCTAAATAGTCTTAGGACGTGTTCTGCGACATGCTACGCGAGGAACACTGATACCCAATTCTTAGCTAACCCTGCTCAACGGAGTCCTTCCTCAAACTTCAAAGTCTCTAACTGCGGACCCATATGTTCAACGATGTCAGAAAAAGATCTAGTAATACAGGGAGAAAACAGCAAAAAAGGCCGACGCGCAGCGGAGAGGCTGAGACCCCGAGACAAACTGAAACCCGTGCTCCTGACATGAACAGCTGCAATGCCAGCACCAAGATACCCAACTCCTCCAACTGAGACGTTAAAACAATTCTCTTCGGCCAAAACTGAACGCAACGCATGACCGCAGGCCGAGCAAATGCTATGATGTTGACCAATGCGGGATACGCAATGAAGACCGGTCTTCGATGCTGGGGCTAAGCCTTGTGTGTAGGTTGTCTGTCTGTCAGCTTCCGGCAGGCTGCCATGCCATGGAAGAGCTATCGGAAAGACCTCATTCCCAACCCTGCGCACTGCTCCGCACATCATGGTCTGATTGTAGCAGTGCGCAAGGGTGTGGCATCCTCCTTCAAGTGCTGACAGTGACCTCACCCCTCCGGCCAGTATGTATTGTAAACTGGGGGGGGGGGGTACCATTGTTGTCCGCAGTTCAGAAATGATTTATAAGAGGGGGAGGTGTCGTCAATTCATGAGGCCCTGAACAAATTACAAAATGGGGGGGGATGCCATTGCCGATTGTTTCCTTTGGGCGTGAATATGTAAGAAATTTGCTTTATGGTTTCTTATGGTCTTTACAGAAGGTAAACAAAGATTACATCAAAGATGTGAAGGTCTGAAAGAAGAACGAAGGGAGCATGCCCACAATCTGATCAGTATAAACCGTGTGTGTGTGTGTATATATAAGCATACATGTATATATGTGTGCTACCATGCCTCATCTTGTATGATGTTTTGCTCTACATACACCTCCCTTGCACTAGTACTTGGTATCATGTCCCCGTGGCTGCGCCCTGGGAGGATTGTGTGAGGATCATACAGGGATTATATAGGGCTTCTGTGAGCACTGTGAGGGTTATGAAAAGGTTATACAGGGATCATATAGAGATTACATCGGGATGATGTGAGGGTTTTATAGGGACTATATAGGGAGTATGTGAGGGTTATATACGGTCATATACGGGATTATATAGGGATTGTGTGAGGATTACGGGGACGTCCATATGTAAACAGCAGAGTTTTTTTGCTTCTCAGGGCTGACAGAAGAATAAAGGGGGCATACCTATGAACAGTTATCAATATAGTGCGTATGTCTGATATACCTAATGTATTCATATGTATATATCTATATCTATATGCGTATTTATGTGTGCTACCATGCCTCATTTGTATGTAGATTCCCGGAAGCACCGCGAAGGGTTCCTCGTTTGCCTTCACACACCACAGCACCTACACCGCTCCTATACACCACGCCGCAGTCTACACAGAACTTCTACACCACTGACATACACACACCAGCGGTCTATCCCTACACCACTCACTAATGCCGCACCACAGCACTTACATCGCTCGCCTACACCACCAAAGCACCTACACCGCTCACATACACCAAGCCACAGTCTACATACACCGCTCGCAGACACCACAACATCTACACCGCTGACATACACCACGCCAGAGTCGCTGGGTGGCGGCGCTATGCGGCGCTGGCACGTGGAGCGTCCTCAGATTCTTTTCGTAATCGACGACCCTCTCGTGGGTTTCGGCGTGTGGCGGCGATGGCGTGTGGAGCGTCCTGAGACCTCTTTCCCGGAATCGACGACCCTCTTGTGGTTTTGGGTGGGTGGCGGCGCTGGCGCGTGGAGCATCCTCAGAATTCTGTTCCTTTTCGTAATTGACGACCCTCTTGTGGTTTTGGGTGGCTGGCGGTGCTGGCGCGTGAACCAGTGCTTGGTACCATGTCCCCCTGGCTGCGTCCTGGGAAGCCATCCTTTGCTTCAAAAGGATAGTAGGTATGCGAGCAGGTTGGGGTAATTGCTTGCAATTGGTTTCTCAAGATCCCTATATAATCCTTATATGTCCCTATGTAACCCTCACATAATCCCTATGAGACCCTCAAATCATCGCGATGTAATCCCTATATGATCCCTATATAACCTTCACAGAAGACCTACACAATCCCTATGATGCTCCCAGGACGCGGCCACGGGGACGCTTAAGCCAGCAATGGTACTTAATCCTCACAGAATCCCCAAATAATCCCTAATGTTGTACTCCTCACATGATCCTCCCAGGACGCAGCCACGGGGACATGGTACCGAGCACCCTGGTGCAAGGGAGGTGGAAAGTAAAAACAGGAACATTCTAGAAAAAGGAAATATATGCTCATATTATATGTACATGTATACATATATATATATATATAAATGCACCGTATTTATCCTGTTCATGCATGCTTTCCTCTATTCTTCTTCCAGCCCTTCATATCTCTATAGCTTACTTTGATACTTCCTTGATCTTCCTTGCGTCGAAAGCTTTTATAATTGGGCAAGTACAGGGTACCACGTCCCTTCTCCATTGGTTGGGGTACCCTCCCTTAAGTGTCACAGTGACGGACGGTACCCCACCCTTATTCAAATATGTTTAAATTTAACTATTTCTTTCATGAAATGAGGGGATGACTACCAACCTGTGCTATGAAGGGCATGGAATTCGCTTAAGACAGGGGGGCACCCCCACTCATTCCATAAGGAGAATCTTAAGGGGGATGGTGCTGGACCGGCCCACAAGCCTGCTGTATCCCAACAGGCAGGTTCTTGTCATGCTCTCAGCTTGTTGGTGCCATTTTTTCCCATTTTCTGTTGGCTACAACGGACCTGATTTTCGATGTGGGTTCGGGTGTGCATGGCTGCCTTAGTATGCATCCTCCGGTCGCACCTTAGCCCCATGTTGTCGCCTCTGAGGTGTCTCAGCATCTCCATCGTTGCCCATCTCCACAAGCTGCTGTAACTTGCAAACTTGCTGCCGCATCATTGCAGTACTGAGCTGCGCAGCATAGGCTTCAACAGACACTTTTCCAACTCCTTGAACGTGCCGCTTTCTTGTTGCAAAGAAACGTAAGGTTTTACCTCGCCCCCAAGATCTATTACACTTCGTGATCTGGAGTGCTTGGTGTATTTTTGGGGATGTGCCACCGCTGTTCGGCAATCTTTGCATGTGAACAGGGCGGGCAGGAAGATGTGCTAAGAAAGCATATGTGTTGTTGTAGGCTGCATCGGGCCGATTAGTTTCATCCATGTGCGTCCTGGAATTGTTATCCGTCAGCAGCGTGAACGTAGCAGCGTCGACGTTGCAATATGCGGGGGTGCTGGAAGCTAGGTCAACGGAGTCATCTAAGCGCCAAATTGGTAGGCCGTGCTTTGATTCAGAAAATTTGCTTCCACAACTGGAGACATTGGAGAGTCCAAGTTCTAGGCACAGTCATGAAGCGGGTGTGCGCTCTGTGACTGCACGGCAGAAGCCACAAATGTGCTTTTGATACGTACCGTTCCCTCATTCCGGTGTCCGTGATGCTGGCAAGCAACCATGCTGCTGCGAGACGCTTCTTTTCCCTTGTCAAAGATCTCACATTCCATCTGCTTGCCTGCCATGGCATGAAATGGCATAGAACAAGAGGGCATCGCGAGTTGGGATGCACATTGCTATGGGTCGACGTCCGGAATGCTTGTCGCTGCATGAATTGAGTTGAACACTGCCAACGACACTTTGATGCTGTCTGTCCGTGCCTGATGCAATCGCTTGGGAAATTTGCTCTTTTGCGAGGTCCTGGTCCTCTAAGAAATCGCTGAACCTCTGGAAGGTGATGTCTTTCAGCCTCGTATGCGGCGAATGACGGCATGCACACATGTAACTTACCCCCGAGCTGCCTTTCACACTAGCGGGGAAATTGTGGGACCTTCCGGGCTAAACTAGTTTGGGTGGAGGCAGGGGCATTGGCGATCGCCAGCAGGTCCTCTGCCCAATCAGGACTGGAAATTGCTTCCCAGGCACGCCACTTTCACGTGTCTCTTCTCCTTTGTCATGCGGCGGCAATGCTGGGATGGAAATGACAGCACGTCTCGAGTTGTGAATCCCACATGTTCAAATCTGAGCTGCAAGCCCCCCTCCCCTCCATGCAGATGGTTGAGGCCTTGTCAAACAAGCCTGGCTGCCCCCAGAGACGGCAACCCTTTACCCAGGCCCCTTGATGCGAACAGACAGACGTAAATCTTCTTTTTTCCAAAGGCAAAACAAATCCAACCCTGAACTCACCACCCGCGTCTGCCCTCCTTCGGGCATCCCTTCTGGAAAGCTGCAAGTCTCATCCATGGTCGGGACTTCTTGCACTGGGCACACCTGATCCCTCCGGGACGCACGTCAACTTGATGACTGCGGTGCACCCCTAACTCGTTGAGCCTCTGGGCCTGAAGCCTCCCTCCCGGACAAAGACGATGCATGTGAAACTTTCGGTGCACAGTGCTTGTGGGTTCACTGCACTTCAGCGTGATCAAACACCAAGAGCATCTCGCCGTACCCTCTTTAACCACCCAGCTGTGCGTGGGTGAAATATTCTGAGCAGATTGGATAAGTTCCTGTTTCGTGGCCTTTCTAGGCCCTTCAAAGACGTAAATCTTCTTTTTTGTACTTGCAGAAAAAAAGAAGTCAATCCTGCGGGCGGGCGGCTTCGAGCGCTTCGAGAAAGCCAGTGTCCAGCGCGTCCAGTCCATCCTCCAAAGCCTCAGCTCTTTGCACCACGAAAGATCGATCCATGTCGATGGACACCCACCTTGTCGTTGCAGGGACCACATCTCAAACCCGCACTGAGGAAGCAGATATACATTAGATAGATGCCAACTAGTCAGCTGATGTCTGGGTGGAGTTGAGCACTTCGAAACACAGTTCATTGTGACAGACCATGAAGCTTATCTAGCCTCCTTGACAAACTAAGCTTTGATGGAACCTCTTAAGGATTTGATGAAACTTCAGAAATGCCACCCTCCCGTCCCGAAATGCACTGCGGCCCAGGTGGGCATCTTCGATTGCTCGCCTTGGCAGAAAGCATGCAAAAAGCATCGCGCTCGAGCCTTGAAGTTTTGAAGGTGGCCCTGCTAGAATTCTGCACTGGTGCATCGGCCCTCCTTGATTTCATGCCTGCGTAATGTCAGCACCAGGGATGTGCTCTCCTTGGTCCAAGCAGCAAGATCACAGGGACCGGCTTGTCTTCGAAGAAATAATTCCAAGCCAAGACCTGCAACCACACTTCTGCAACTTCTGCATGCTGGAAATCTGCAGCTGCCATGCTAAATGAGGTGTGAAAGTGCGTGTTGCCATGCCAAGGCTAGAGCTCCAGCTCCCATGTTCTCGTCGACCTTGGATTTGAGTCATTTTGAGTCGTAGTGTGTCGTAACGTGTCGTCTTCGGAAGTCCCTTTCAAGGCTCATTGTCCACAGAAGCCCATAATGCACTATGCGACCACATGCAATGCCTAAACCTGCCTGTCAAACGAACCACCTCCGCTCAGGAGTTGCCTAATGGCCTTAGATTGAGCCAATTTCAGAAGGAAGCCATGCGCGTGACAATTTCAGAACTAAGGAGATTCCAGACCATCTGACGTGGCAGAGAATGCGCACACAAGGGCACCGAAGCCGCAGGACTACGCAAGCCTGCCTGCCATCACTGATGGAAGGCGTACGGGAGCGACTGCTCAAGGAGAGCCGAAGGCTGCATGACAGGCTGCTATTGCTCAAAAGCTCAGCTTCGGCTTGAAAAGTTGAGTTGGGAAGGGCATCAGGGCTAAGAGCCAATGGCTTAGAGATCGATCCAACCATAGAGTGCCGGAGGGCCCTGCAGTAGTGAAAGAACTGGTCTGCTGTCCCTAGTGCAGCGACTGTAAGTGGTGCATGACCAAGAAGTGTGCCGTGCCAAGATGTTAAAGATTGCACCCATCCCTGTCCAAAGGTTTTCATTTCAAGCTGAAGGCTTCCGGCTGACCCACAGCACATCTCTAATCCAGCCAAGAAGCGAAGACCAAGCCTTGGATGATCACAGCTGGAACAGCCTTCCCTTGGATTTAGGAACCCAAAAATCTGCACCCGAGCATCAGCTATCACTGGCATGCTCGATCTCCTAGAGTAAAGCCATTTGGTGCAGGCATGCTGTGCTCCATTCTGGATATTGGTTGGCAAGGTCCTCCTTGACGCCTCGGTGGGTGTCAATGATCAGGATGCGACAATTGTACTCCATGCACCTCAGCCAGCAAATGGCCAGCACCCTGCCCTCAGCTGAAATTGGTGCACTCGCCCCCTCTCCTCACCTCCAACCCTCCCCGATCAATACACTCGCATCGCGCACTTGCGGCAATCAGGCCCTGCCAATTTGACTAAGTGCACTTTGGCTGCCGTCTCCTGTTTTTTCTGTGCACGTGGGTGGAGGCACTGCCGGGCATCTCATTTTAGAGATCAGATGTCCTTCTGAACCGACAGGGGCCCCGTTCGTGGCTTGACTTGCTGACCTATGCATGTGCCGCTGACTTTGAGTGTGATCTAGATTGGGACCTAGGCAAGCCGAAGTCGTCTGCCTACAAGAAACAGCTGTACAACATCCCAGGGGGATGCGACGTGATTAGACACCCGGTCACGGCAGGTCACGTTTGTGCAGCCGCGGCCGGAGCGCAGCTGAAAGATGAACGACTCGACAACGCTACTGATAACAGCTTCCTCAATGAAGGCTACAGTACTGCGTTAAGGCATGCAGGATCTGAAGTTGAATTGTAGCAGAACTAGATAACATCGGAATTGGCATATTGAAAGTATCGGTATAAAATTGTCGCGTGTTGCGAGGACTGGGTGAGACAAGCCTGGATCTATTGCCCGCTCGTTCTTGGCAGCAGCCATGGCTTTTAACATCTGACATGCCCTTCCAAGCACAACGGGCCGGCTAACATTTCTTTCTCAATTATGCTGTGGAGCGCTCGGTCAATGCCAGGCCGATCCTCGCATTAATTGGTATGCATGTCCTTCGTTTCCGACGTCTTCGGTCACTTCAGCGAAGTCCTAGCATCATGGGCTGCGCAAGTACTCCTACGGTTTTAACACCCGTGGCTACAGCCCGGTCGTAGTCCTGCAGCGCCGCAGAACCAGCACCCTTCTCCAAGAACTTTCGATTAAGTCTATCGACTTGATCAGTGAGGAAATTCACCTTGCGGCTGTTAAAGAAGTCTGACACATGCAACGTGGAATAGTGAAGGGGCAATCGCAACAATCGCCACAGTACCCATGTCTACGTCAAGTTGGTCTGCAATTAGCGAAGCAGAGCTGTGAGGAGCGACAGTCTGCCCTGGCCTGTCGTAGAAGCATTTGCAGGTCATAGCTTCTGGCCTGCCCTTTGAGGCGGGCCACGCCCCTGCCAAACAAGCCATGATACTTCTTTTCATCCGAATGCTGGTGTTCACGGCCCAGGTGTTTGAATCAACTGCGTCTGCCACCATTTGCAACAGCGGCTCGTACGGCTTGGGGTGCTCAGGCTTGCTGGCTACAGTTCAACTTTAGAATAGGAAAACACAAAAGAGACAGCTTGAGGCGCTACTCGCTGCCTGATAAGTTCATCCATTGTAAGGTCCCCATCTTTGTCGGCGTCCAGGATGAGATCATAGAGCCCATCGCCCTTGCAAGAGAACATGCATATGCAGAGTCCCCTGGGAGAAAGTGATTTCAGTGATGTTGAAGATTCCAGCTTGGCGGACCCTGAATAGAGAGAGAAGTTACTGGGGCTTCAAAAGATCCAGCAACCGAGCACATGCATGCGGACTGATTGCATCTAATCTACCCAAGGGGTCGCGCTCGCCCAGCTAATGGCATTCGCTTCAAGGTGTCATCTGCAAAGCTCGCCTGCAAGCTCCTTCTGCAGATTAACAGCTAAGGTGAGGACATCGGCTGCATCCAGGTCCATGGAGCCAAGCCATAGCTGTACAGCAGGATGGCTTACCTTCCAAGCTGCAGCGCAAAAAGTCCGGCCAAATTCTGGCAACACTGCTCAGCAAGTGAACTCAGCTAGTGGGGGCAAACTTTTCTTTGCAGTCACCAAGGCACAAGGGCACGCCATTCTTCCCGGCTTACCAAGCCATCTTCTTGGCAGGGCATCAAGCACTATGCTTTGGGCTTAATGTTGAATCCCGATTAGTGCTGGGGTCCCCAATAAAGCAAAGTCTTTTGAAAATGATTCCGGACCGCCTATTCGATTTGGGTGGTCCCAATACAATAAAGTCTTTTCTGCCGGAAAAATCAAAGAGAAGGTTTTGATGAGGCTACAATGCTTTTGGCTTTGAAGCCAGGCCTTTACATGAAACTCTAGCACCTCTCGAATCTGGCACTTGATGCCAAAAACAAGCGATTTCTCACTAAACCGTGTATTCGAACAGGCTAGGCAGTCAAATTCCAAAGAGGGTAGTCCAGCAGAATCCCTGATCCTGAATAACGTAGATGATTTGGGGGTCTCAATAAAGGCTTTTCGGCCGGGGTAGTGGTGAAACCATTCTGGTTAGTTTGTAAGTGTTGTTAATTCGATTTCTATTTGGTTTTAGAGAGTTTCATTATTGTTTTCAAGGCCAGGCCTTTTATTATGAAGGCCGAGGAACCTGCCCTTCCTATTCTCTTGGAGGCTGAGCTGAGCAAGTCCTTGCAAATTTGATAGAAGCCAATGGATCACCCCTCTTTCCTTGTTGGTTTTAATAGGAGCCATAGGATCCCCAGACCCCCAATTCCTTTCTTTTGAAGCCTTTTTGATTATAGAGGCTCCCCTTTTCATTTGGGGGGCCCCCCACACTAGTCAGTCTCCTCCGTTATTATCTTCTACCAGTTGCATGCTATGCTCAACACTTTGAGCCCATCGCGATCATTATCGGCCTCCAGAAATAACTGCCGCCTCAGTCAGGGTCAGACCTAGGACCTGGCGATGAGCGTGTGATCCCTTTGCGTTGATCTGTCAATACTCTACGGCTGTCCCCCACACCGAGGAGCATTTTCATCTCATGCAAATTTGAAGATCTCTCTTTCTGCCTGAGGTCGCTTGTCGGCCAACACCCACAACATCCCATAACTCACTGCTACCTGCTTGCAGCCAATGCTAGCCTCATCATGATCTGATTATCAGAAGATGCCACTTTAAAGGTCTCCTGCATGCAGCAAGGTGAATCTCTCACGCGAGCTTGATGATGCCATGACTGCCCATACTGCCTGGATGAAAACACCGTTGATGACGCCAACCACGGCAAATCCAATGACCAGTTTGTGCAGCACGCAAAGCAACATAAACCATTCCTCAGTCTTTGGTCCCACATGTCATAATAGAAACCTTGAGAAGAGCCTGATGCACTGGAATTGCTGCGACGCGCTGTCCAAGCTCTGGGACCAAGGTGCCGAAACTTTCTCAGATAGCAGCCTGCCCAAGCTGCGTGATTGATGTTCTGGAAAGCTACCCCACCCGGCCATACAAAGGGAGCCGCAGTCGAACGATGGCTAATTTAGTTTATGTCAGCCACGTACTGACCATGCGGGATGGCCACACCATGCAAAACCATGGCCAGCTTGCCCACAGCCAACTTTAATTGCAAGCGGCTTTGAATGACTTACAGGAATCATTTTCAAAAACGAAATCACTCGAGTAGGCTCATCCACCTGCAAAGGAAAGTGCTGGGGACTCATGGCTGCGAAGCCTATCTGCGCTTGGTCCACTGAGCGTATGTGGGTTCATGTTTGGCGCTGCGGTCCTTGCCATGGTCGCTTCTACGTTCTACACTTCGACAGCATCATACATCCGCCGAGGCCCTCGACCTCAGGCGTTCCTCCCACCCCGCCCCCCTTTGACCCCTCTTCTATCGCCTCCCCCTGCCTCAGATTACACGTGGCTCAGCACAGGTTAGGAACAATGTGTTGTGCTGGGCTGCCTTTGTCACCCAGGCATACTCAGCGGAGTTTCCAGGTCGTTCAGTGGACTTTCAGCTCCCCCATAACCCACCCAAAAAATGGGGTCGTCTGCAAGTAGGCGACCCGAACCGAAGGTCACTTCTGGTGATCTGCGTGACCGCTGCCGCACGCGCTCGCATTGACCTCAGGGCAGCGAAGAAACTGATTTGCATCCGTCTGCGTCCAGTGCTGGGCGGGTGTCCCCTGCTGCGACTTGCCTTGAAAGGAACTGCTGGTGCACATGTAAAACAAATTTCTTCCCGCCCGTAACATACAGATTGGGCATTCGCCTTTGTGGCACATATGCGCACTGCTGCGTCCATGATGGTCCATTTGTTCCTCGGGCTATTAGATGTTGCGTAATGTCTTGGCTCGCTCAGATAATTGTGCAGTTGTTTTGTTCTTCAGCTGGCATGGAATAAGCAAGCATGTACAAACTCAACAGAGAACCAAACAAAGTTGCAGTTACAATTCTAGCCAAACGGTTCAATCTGGGCTCACCAAAACCGAGTCTGTGAGCCGGATGGGGTTCTCGGCCTTCACCTGCAACTACAGTTGACGAATCTAGCAATGAAGAGCAAGGACGAGAATAAGGCGGTAAGCCAGAAGCGTCGTACCGAAGGAAATGCTGTGTGGCCTGATCGGCTGAAGCTTTGAAAAAACACGTGGAGGCCTTCTACAGGAATGAGATGTGACATGATGTGACCTTCTGGCGCAAGTCAAACTTGTCTCATTGTGCTCGCAACAGAGCTCTTTGATGTGGAGATCTCCAAGTGGCGTCAAGGCGACACTACGCCACCGGCCAGTCATCCCACACACAAGCAAGTCGCGAACCTTCTGCGTGCATGCGTGCGCAGGTTTCGAGCGCCGCTGTCATCATGCACATGCATGTGGGTGCTTTTGAAACTGCGCCGCCAGTACCGGATAAATCGTGCGATGTAAAGGATAGGTGGCATCGGGAAGGTATGTACTCAGACTGATATAAGATATAAGAGTTCAAGAAAAATCTCGAATCTCGACGTGATCTGAAAGAAGCTAGCATAAAGGGTTGTTGAGTGCTCTGTCCAAGGCTGCTAGCCGGTTTGCGCTACAGTTGGGCACCTCAACAATTCTGATTGGCGGATGCAAAAAGCTGATGGGCCAGACATGGGCCCCTTCCAATGGCGACGGGATGCGACTGGAAGCCTAGAGTATCGGGAAACCTCTTCATAGGCACAGCAAGCTGTAGGATTGGCTAGTTACAGAACATGACTTACATGGAAGCTCCAGAATGAACGTAGTTTGTCAA